AGTTTGAAGTATTACATGAGCTAGAGCTTTCTTTTTCTTTGAGGTCTTTATGCTCCTTGTTTTCTAAATTGGCATACTTTGAGTCAGAATGCTCTTCTATCACAACAAAACCAATATCTTTCAACTCATAATGGCTATAAGAATGTTCCTCCTTTTCATCATTTTTGTGTGTCATTCCCAGACTAACTTTTTCTGCATCATCTGATATACTACTGGTAATTCTACCATGACTAAATGAAATACTTGTCTCTTCTTCACCAATAATATCACTGATATTATCATCAGCTTTTGCTTCTACACCATCATACTTGCACACATCAAGTGGCACTTCAGTCTTAGCTGGAGAATCTGCTGGTAACTTTCTAGTTTCAACATGATGCTGAAGAACAATAAAATGCCCTTCCTCTGAAATCTGTTTAGGAATACAGTCTGGGTTGTCTTCTTTTAGTTTACAAACTTTGCCTGCTTGTTCTTCATCTGACTGAACAGAACTATCATCCCTTAAATCTTCTGAATGAATATCTGGAATTGATATTGTAACCTCCTGCTCTTCACTAACTTCCGTAGTCTGAACAACTTGAGCAACGTCCACACTTACCCTTCTCTCTAAATTGACCTGATCTTTTTCGTCCACATTCAGTATTTTAATTTCAGTCCATCCTTCCTCATGGACAAGTGGAACTTCTTTAACAGTGTCATCTGGTCTTGAGACATTAAGTGGTGACTTCTCTTCTGCTTTACTAGAAAATGTATAACCTGGATCCTCTTTTTTCTTGTCTTTTATAATATTCACATAACCAGATTTATCCATATCTGTATTTTCAATATTCTCCTCTTCTACAATACATGAAGGTTCCACCATCAAAAATCCTGGATTCATTAAAACCACAGAATCACTGTATTTTTTTTCCTCTATATCATGTTTAGAAATGTTAACTGGCAAAGTACTGACTGTGCAGCTTTCAACAGGATAATACTCATGTCTGATTGGCACACTTGAAATTATTTCCACAGGACAGCCTTTCATGTCATCATCTAATTTTATTCCAGTTGTGACTACTTCTGCCTTTTGATATCCAGTGTCATCTCTGTCTTCATCTTCCTTTAGGTCTTCTTTTCCACTCTCAACAGCTTCAGGAACAGTAGGTGATTTACCTATTTGCTTTATTCCACCTTGGTTTCCAGTCTTTGTAATCAATTCTTCAGATACTGATCTTACTAATGGATCCTTGGCTTCTCCACTCTTCACTCCAATTTGACTATCATCTTTCACTGATGCTGTCTCAGATATCTTCTTGGGCAGACTTCCTATTGGAACATGAATTACTGTTTCTGCTTCTGACAATGTAGACACAGAACTATCAATACTAACATGCCTTTCTAATTTGATTTCAAGAGAGACACTTGCAATCTCTGGGTGCACAGCCTCTCCTATGGTTGTGCATTCTTTCATTTTATCAAGGCTTTCATCACTCTCTACAAGGTCCTCTTTATCCTCAATTTCTGCTTCTTCATAGCTTTCATGGGATGACAATTGTTCTTCTAAGTCAACCTCTGGCTCACATTCTACCATCTCAAAACTGCTGTTTGATGAACTACTACTTGATGCTGAGAGTCTTCTTGTAAGTTGTCCTTTCTGAATATCATCTTCCTTTCCAAATTCCTTTAAACTGTCTTCACTATCACTTCCTGAGGGACTATGGCTTGAGTTTTTAACATCATCTTCAAAAGTTTCTGCTGTCAAATTGTCAGATATATCATCAACAACTGGATTGATAGACCCTTCTTCATTTCTTCCAGTAATAACAGAGGCTGGAGATTTATCATCTGTTCCTTGTTTATAATATGCATGAACTCCTTTAGGAATATTTTCTGTTTTATGTTTATCCATAAAAGAATGAGAAACTGCTTTGTCTACAGTCTCTTCTATTCCAGAAAAATCTTCCATAGTTTCAGGGTCTTTCTGAACATATTGTTCTGGCTTTGAAACTACCAGCAAAACTTTACTTGCTTCATCCATAACTGTTCCACTTCTCGTGGAACATTCAGGAGATCCTTCATGATCTTCCTTTATTCTATACTGCTTGCTTTCATCTGTTGAAGTTTCTGATACATCTGCCTTGTTAAACACTTCTTCTACTTCAACTGACACAAGACTTAATCCAATGGATGAATTCATTTGACTTTCAACAGCTATTTCAAAAGTCTCTTTCTCATCTCGCACACTACTTGTATACTGAGGAATTACTTTATTCAGAGAATTTTCAGAAGCTAATTCTGATATCATTACATCTACATCTATTTTATCACCTTCACCCTGCAATATTTCACGGGAAACTTCACAAGCTGGTTTAGAAATGTTTGGTACATCTTCATTTATAGGTGGTAAAGTATGAGTAATATTTGTTGTCGTTTGTACAACACATGCCATCTGTTTCTCACCATCTTGAGAATCTCTACATTTAGGTTCTCCTCTCAATGCTTGAGATGAAGATGGAGATAAATGTATTTTTGCTTTTGCATCTGCATCTATTTCATCTCTGTCTTCATCTTCCTTTAGGTCTTCTTTTCCACTCTCAACAGCTTCAGGAACAGTAGGTGATTTACCTATTTGCTTTATTCCACCTTGGTTTCCAGTCTTTGTAATCAATTCTTCAGATACTGATCTTACTAATGGATCCTTGGCTTCTCCACTCTTCACTCCAATTTGACTATCATCTTTCACTGATGCTGTCTCAGATATCTTCTTGGGCAGACTTCCTATTGGAACATGAATTACTGTTTCTGCTTCTGACAATGTAGACACAGAACTATCAATACTAACATGCCTTTCTAATTTGATTTCAAGAGAGACACTTGCAATCTCTGGGTGCACAGCCTCTCCTATGGTTGTGCATTCTTTCATTTTATCAAGGCTTTCATCACTCTCTACAAGGTCCTCTTTATCCTCAATTTCTGCTTCTTCATAGCTTTCATGGGATGACAATTGTTCTTCTAAGTCAACCTCTGGCTCACATTCTACCATCTCAAAACTGCTGTTTGATGAACTACTACTTGATGCTGAGAGTCTTCTTGTAAGTTGTCCTTTCTGAATATCATCTTCCTTTCCAAATTCCTTTAAACTGTCTTCACTATCACTTCCTGAGGGACTATGGCTTGAGTTTTTAACATCATCTTCAAAAGTTTCTGCTGTCAAATTGTCAGATATATCATCAACAACTGGATTAATAGACCCTTCTTCATTTCTTCCAGTAATAACAGAGGCTAGAGATTTATTATCTGTTCCTTGTTTATAATGTGCATGAACTCCTTTAGGAATATTTTCTGTTTTATGCTTATCCATAAAAGAATGAGAAACTGCTTTGTCTACAGTCTCTTCTATTCCAGAAAAATCTTCCATAGTTTCAGGGTCTTTCTGAACATAATGTTCTGGCTTTGAAACTACCAGCAAAACTTTGCTTGCTTCATCCATAACTGTTCCACTTCTCGTGGAACATTCAGGAGATCCTTCATGATCTTCCTTTATTCTATACTGCTTGCTTTCATCTGTTGAAGTTTCTGATACATCTGCCTTGTTAAACACTTCTTCTACTTCAACTGACACAAGACTTAATCCAATGGATGAATTCATTTGACTTTCAACAGCTATTTCAAAAGTCTCTTTCTCATCTCGCACACTACTTGTATACTGAGGAATTACTTTATTCAGAGAATTTTCAGAAGCTAATTCTGATATCATTACATCTACATCTATTTTATCACCTTCACCCTGCAATATTTCACGGGAAACTTCACAAGCTGGTTTAGAAATGTTTGGTACATCTTCATTTATAGGTGGTAAAGTATGAGTAATATTTGTTGTCGTTTGTACAACACATGCCATCTGTTTCTCACCATCTTGAGAATCTCTACATTTAGGTTCTCCTCTCAATGCTTGAGATGAAGATGGAGATAAATGTATTTTTGCTTTTGCATCTGCATCTATTACATCTCTGTCTGTCTCTACATCAGAATCTTTTGCAGTTGCACTTGCAGACACAGATAAAGCATCTATAGTACTTCTTAGGTATTCATTACTTGATTTAGAATGCTTTTCATCTGCTGGCAAATGTCCCTTAGGCTCCATTCTGGTTTTTAAAGTTTCTTCTGTATCAGATTCTGTCTCACTAACTGTTTCTTCTGGTTCTATGATTACTCGTTCAATAACAGTTTGTGCCTTTGGTTCTTTTGTTCGAGTCACAGTAACCACTTCATAGATAATCTCAAGCACTTCTCCTTCATTTGGCTGTGTTTTATGTACACTTTCTTCTCCTTCATGTTTACCTTCTGATGCAAGAAGAGCTTCCCCATCTCTTATTTTGGGAGATTCATGCATGGTTAATAGACTTTTAGAACTTTCTTCAGGTTGAGGTGCTTTTTCTGTTGTTTCTTTTTCCTTTTCTTCAAATCCAGCTGTACTTTCAGTGACAACATTTTTGGGGTCAATGTTTTCTTCTGATAATTGGTCAGAAAAGGAACAGACTGAAGCTCGGTTATCACCACTAGTCTGAGATTCATTCTTCACCGCCTCTACTTTGTCAATATGAGGATTAACATTTATTTTCTTTCTCTTTCTAGTTCCTCTTTCATTTCCTCCTTCTAAAGCCTGGATGACTGCATCTTCATAAATGGTGGCAGCTGAGATCCTTACTTTTGAAGGCTCCTCTAGATCATCACTTTCATCAGATGAAGGGGAGTCTATTTCTGCAACTTCTGCTAAAGCATCAACATCCTGGAAATCCATCTCCATTTCACTAGTAAAAACCTCATCCCTGTCTATTTCAATACTGCTTGAACTAACAAAACTAAATCGCAGCTCGTCCTTTCTGGGATCAATGGCAGCTTCTTCTTCTGGGATGGATTCAACAGGAACAGATTTTGACTCAACTGAAGGATTTTGCAAGTTTGAGTCAGTCAGAACTGGAGCATCGTCCCAATCCCCAGACACGGCTGCACGAGTCTCTGATCCAAAATCTATTGAACCCTCAGTTGAAGACCCTCTTTTACTTTCATTTCCACTTGAACAGGAGCTTATAGATTCCCAGTTTTCATAAAGAGCCTTCCTTGTAAGTAGTCCCCTCTTCCTCATTACTTTTTCTAATTCTTCTGGGGTAACTTTCTCCTCTTTGGAAGCAACAAATGATGTGCTGCTTGCACTATCTTTGCTTTTAGTAAGTTTTGCTTCACTGGTCATTTCCTTTATATCATTATCCACTTCTTCATATAGCTTTCCAAACCTTTTCCTTTTTTTAATTACAATGTCTTTCTCAAACTCAGACCTGTCTCCTGTCTCCCTAACACTTACGACAGGCTCAACATCTGCTCTACATGCCTCAATTTTTTCACGATTACTTGTATCAGTTTCCATTAACTGATGTTCTGCCTCAACACTAGATATTTCATCTTCCTCATTTTGTGAATGAATGCTTACAGTGTCTTCTATGTCTTCACATTTTACCTGTAAATATTGTTCAGAATAAATAATGCATGTTGCTTTAGAACTATCAAAAAAGGTGCTGCAAATTTTACATAAAATTTTGGTTTACATACAAGAAAATGCTGCTGTTGATACACATTCACACTTCTTGACAAGGAAATTCATTAAAGGAAGATAACTACTATAACTGAAGAGAATATAAATTGTGTTACTTTTCAAGATTTTTGGTTAATCATATTAATAAAATTATTTAAGAAATGAAAAATAGCATATTTAGAGTTAAGTACACTTGTTACTTGCGAAGATAATGAACAAAACAATGCCTAATATTTCACATTATAGAAAGACACTGAAATAAAATAAATTTTCATAACACTGCCTTGCCAACTAATCTGTTGCTTGAAATTGATTTCATATCAACAGTTTCCTAAATGCTCTTTCCTTTTCTGAACTTTTCACCATATTGCCTTTCTTTTCCTTTTGTAAAGCTCTCTTTCAAATTTCGAAGATCATATATCTTCCAAGACTCATTTTTCTGCTTCATTCATAATGTGTGATTATGTATGAGTGACTCTTTCCTGTCTATCAAGTACTTCTGATGTTATTGTAAATTGTAATAATGCAATAGCTGTGTAAGGTAAGTTCTTTACAGCAACAACTGTAAAACTGCATGTAATATGGTAAGTAACAACACAACAATTATCTCCATGCTAAGTAAGGAAATATATCACTCACATTTAAGACTAACTACTGAAACATCAAATCCAATAACTTCTTTACCCTAGGTGGTTTCTGAGAGATCCAGCCATTACAATGGGTGGTGGTCACTAGTGGCAGAAACTTTACTGTGACAATTGTTAAGTACGGCAAGAATGAGAAGGAATGAAAAATCCCATAAGGCAAGTTAAATGATTTAATACTTTCATTGTTCAGTCTTCATCAGGAATACATATCCAGTGAAAACGGCATATTCAAACTGTCATATAATTTATCAAACATCTTTGTTAACCCAATGCCGATGGGTATGACGTGTATGTACGTGCTATGCCCACTGTGAGTACTTGTTTGATTGTTTTAACACATAGATGGCTACACTTGTACTAAGTCACCAATGAGCCAGTTATGAGTACTGCCTGTCTCACCCGTTAACCCTTTTCTTTGATTTAAGAAATATTTTACATTGTCTTATTTTGCTGTTACTAATGTTAACAAACATTATAATAATTAAAATATTTATAATAAAAATAACACCACGATATTCATAGCACTAGTAAAATATATATCTTTCCCGCCATTTTAAATCATGTACGGTCAAAAGGTCTACTAATTGACTCCTTTGTGGCTAAGCACTAGCAGAGCTATCTGTGGGCAAGCATTTCACAAAAAAAATATAGAAAATAGGCATAGCATTTTCCCCATCTTTTTTTTCATTTTCTCCAGCGGCATTGGGTTAACTTCCTTCTGATGAAATATGTAACTTGCTGAGGCAAGGATATTTAGTGTGGATATGGCTAAAATCTTAGCACATCTGCATTTGGGTAGATAATTTTGAACCTCCAAAATATATATAGCAGCAGTGATAGTCCATAGGGTAGTCGTGTCAAAAATCACAGACTTTCCACCACAGGTGAGCATCAGTGCAGTATTGATTCCCAGGGAACAAACGTTATGAATCACACCTAGGGGTTATATAACTCTTATAAGTTATATTAAATGTCATGCACCACTCTTGTTTGTTATTGAATTCATGAATATACTTACAATAATTTCTGGGATAGATGAAGAACTTGTTACCACAGAATCGAGTTTACAAGAGGAAGGAGAGGTTATGATGACAGAAGGAATAACTGGAGCTTTTGAAATTGGTTCCTGTATTTTTAATTTTTCCAGATCACTAGGTGCATGGGGTACATAGTGAATTTCTTTTGGTCTAGCTCCAGAGCTTACTTTAGGTACATCACTAGATGCATAAGGGACATATTGAATTTCAGACTTTTCTTTATCTTTAATAGTCTCCTTAGATGACACTGTGGCACTGATTTTTGGCTTTTCTGCTGGTACATGAACTTGTGCTTCTATAACAGACTTTGTTTTCCTGTCAGCTGCCAAAACATTTACTTGTGTTTCAGCCATAACACAAGGCACATAGTTTACTTTAATGGGCTCAGTTTTCTCAGTCTTAGCCTTTGGTAGTTCAACTTTCCTTACTTCTTCATCATCATCAGATGTGATTGCAGTTTCTTTTACTGTGTTCAGTTCTTCTTCCCTTATTATAATACTCTTTGTGGTCTTCTTTTCTTGTGCTTTCATAGAAAGAGAAGTTGGCACTGTAGTGGCTGCTTCAGCTTTTATTGGTACATGAGGCACATACTGAATCTTCTTTTGTGCATCTGTTTTGATTTCCTTTTCAATCTTTTCTACATTCTTTTGCTGTTGTAAATTAGTCTGATGAGGAAGAGACTCTATTTTTGATGTTTTAACAGACACTTCTTTATTATTCTTTTCCTCTTCTGGAATACTCTTTAGGACATCTGATGGTGCATATGGCACATAGTGTAGTTTCACATCTTTCTTTACTTTCACTTCAACTGGCTTTGTGATTGCTATCTTAGTTTCTGTCACTACTGGTGATTTTCCAGAACTTGTTTCTTTTGCTTTGCATGATTCTTTTAATAAATCTGAAGATACATGAGGCACATAATGTATTTTGGGTTTTGAATCTGTTGCTGCAGGCTTTTCAACCTCTGATGTTTTATTTTCTGTTTCTAGGGGAACATGGGGGACATATTGTATCTTTACATCTGTTTTCTTCTGTGATGGAAGACTTACTGTTTCATTTGGCTTTAGTTTATCTTCCTTTTTCAAACTTTCTTTTACTGAAGCAAGATGCACTTCTTCAGGCACTGAAACTTTTGGTATTTTTGAATCTTTAGCCTCTGAAGCTGCTGGAATGCTTTCTTTCTCTTTTCCAGAAACAGTACTCCTATCATTTTTAACTTCTGAAGTATGAGTTATAGTTTTGTGGTCTTCTCCATTAGATATACTTATACTTAGTGTTTGTATGCTGGTCTGTTCAATTACCTTAAACTCATGTTCTGTTGTAACCACTGATGTACCCTTTGCTTCCTTATCTGGCAAATCAGATAAAACAGCAGGCTCAGTTGTTGATTTGTCTTCTGTGACCTGATCTTTGACTTTTAAACCTTCAGGGCAGACTGGTACATTTACTAAGCTAATTGACTTGTCTTCAGTTCTCTCAGTTCTTTCAGGTGGTTGATGTGGTTGATGTGGTGTGTAGCATTCCTTCACAATAATTTCTTTCTCCATGACTTTGTGTGCAATATCAGCTTTGTTTACATCATCATCCTTATCTTTTACAGTGCGTCCATACTTAATTCCAGGCGGGACAAATGGGGTATATTGCAGTTTGCTTTCTGTCTTTGGGCTATCATCAACTGTTGAAATTTTTGCTTTCTTTATTGCCTTAGCTTCTTTACTCTTATCTTTCTTAATGGGTACACTATCAGATAAGGAATTTAGTCTTTCAAGTTTTATATCTGGCTTCCTTACCTCTTTGGTTGAAACAAATGGCATTTCTTCCTCACCAGGGGATAAAATTTCACCTGGGACAGCTGAATCTGACACATTAGTCTCAGATGACTTTTTCTTATCTCTAATATCTGAAGTAATTTCAACAGTTGTTCTGGGAGTTGTGTCTTGAGAACTATTTTTAGATGTCAAAGACTGATACTGATATTTTTCAACTTTAGAAACATCTGCAAAATGCTTGTGGGATAAAGTTTCAACTTCTGTCAGGAAAGTACTTCTGTTGGCAGAGACAACCTCTGGTTCTTCATTGCAAATCTTTTCTATTCCTGCACCTTCTTCATGGGCTCCACTATCAAATAAATTATCTAAGCTAGCTCCTCTAGATGAATGACGAGAGCTTTTCAAAAGAGCATTGAAAGATGGCTCCATAACTAATTCTTCTATACCCCCTTCTTCAAGAGGAATTTGCTTTTCTTCTCCACCTTCATCAACTTGTGCTTCTGTCCCTTCTAGAGTTCCACTTACAGTAACAGCTACTCCATACCTATCTTTAACAGCAAAGGAGTTATCCAAGTCATAATAGGAAAGGGCTTCAGACATTGTATCATCCTCAGCAGTGTTTGTTCTAAAAGTGTACCCAGCTGGCATTGCTGATTTTACACCAGTGATAAATGCTATTTCATCAACAGAAATATCCTCAAAATCAGTGCCTTCACCTGACAAACTTTTTATTTCAAACCCTGTAACAAGATTTGGATTAATCAAGGCAGCCTCACAGCCTAAGGGAATACCTTCCTCTGATACCTCAGATATTGCTACCGAGTGTCGAGAACTTTCATCCTTAGTTTCAGGATCTTCCATTTTTGAACTGCCATCAGATACAACTGCTTTGACAGATGTAGTTATAACATCATCTTCACAGCTATAAAGTTCAGGAACTTCAACAGTACATGCATATCTCTCAGGTAAGTACATTTGTTTCTCACACAATGCTTCAGAATATGACTCCTCTATTTCCATTGAAGCTGTTGAGATTTTTCTACCACTTTCATTAGCAGCTTTGTATGTTTGAAGTTTCATGTCAATTGACTCAGGTCCTTCAGAAGCCATTATGTTTTCATCTGTCAAAGACTGTTCAATCAAAGGTTCAAATTGGCCAGGTCTCTCTATTACTTCCAACACTTCTAAATCAGAAGCAACAGATATTTTTCTACGATCAAAATCAGTTGCTCCCAAATATGAGGGTAAACTATTAACAGTTGCATCATGACTTTCACATTCTTGTGGAGTGCCCTGAAGAATTGTTTCTGGAGAGACCAAGACAGCCTCCTTCAGAATCTCTCTACCTGTCTCTGAAGCACTTCTCTCTAAAGCAAATGCTCGAGTTTCTACACCAGCTGTACCTACAGCCTCAGGTATTTCATAAGGTATAACTTCAACTGCCTTGGTTGCAGTAGATAATTTTCTCACAACTTCTTGTTTATCCTCTTCTTGACATGAATTTTTCATCTGGATGACACTACTAAGTACAGCACCCTCAGCCAAATTTTCCTTCACGGTTAGGGATACATCTTGTGGATAAGTAAATGACTGAGTTTGTAAAAGTGGTGTCGATATTGCAGATACTACCTCTTGCTCTGCAAATGTAAATTCTTCAGTTGCAGTTGATATTTTCCTCTCAGTTTCAATAGACTTACTTGCACCTGCTTCTTGACCAACATTTTGAGTAAGTGGATTGTCCAACTGATTTTCAGAGGAAAAGGAATCACTAGATCCAGACTGACCCATTTGACTCTCCGTCATTTCAGCATTAATAAATCCAACTGGGAGCTTTTCAAGACTTTCTTCCATTGGTGATGCTCTGTTACTATCAGTCATAAGACAACTCTGAATGTCAGGTATGATAAGTTCTTCTGAGCTCAATAATGGTCCAGCCATCTGCACCAGTTCAGATCTTACTGCAACAAAATCTTTCATATTGTCAGATGTAAGAGAAGCTTGTCTTTCTGCAGCAACAGACTGAGTGACAGGAGTTCCAGCAATTTCACCACTTTCAATATTTACTTCCATGGAAATTGTTGACATTTTACGACCTGTATATCTTCCATCTAGACATTCAACATCCATTAGCTGTATGTCATCAGATTTTGTTACCACACATTCACTGAACTGTTCATGTTCTGCAAGAGAGACAGCCTCCTTCAGAATCTCTCTACCTGTCTCTGAAGCACTTCTCTCTAAAGCAAATGCTCGAGTTTCTACACCAGCTGTACCTACAGCCTCAGGTATTTCATAAGGTATAACTTCAACTGCCTTGGTTGCAGTAGATAATTTTCTCACTACTTCTTGTTTATCATCTTCTTGACATGAATTTTTCATCTGGATGACACTACTAAGTACAGCACCCTCAGCCAAATTTTCCTTCACCGTTAGGGATACATCTTGTGGATAAGTAAATGACTGAGTTTGTAAAAGTGGTGTCGATATTGCAGATACTACCTCTTGCTCTGCAAATGTAAATTCTTCAGTTGCAGTTGATATTTTCCTCTCAGTTTCAATAGACTTACTTGCACCTGCTTCTTGACCAACATTTTGAGTAAGTGGATTGTCCAACTGATTTTCAGAGGAAAAGGAATCACTAGATCCAGACTGACCCATTTGACTCTCCGTCATTTCAGCATTAATAAATCCAACTGGGAGCTTTTCAAGACTTTCTTCCATTGGTGATGCTCTGTTACTATCAGTCATAAGACAACTCTGAATGTCAGGTATGATAAGTTCTTCTGAGCTCAATAATGGTCCAGCCATCTGCACCAGTTCAGATCTTACTGCAACAAAATCTTTCATATTGTCAGATGTAAGAGAAGCTTGTCTTTCTGCAGCAACAGACTGAGTGACAGGAGTTCCAGCAATTTCACCACTTTCAATATTTACTTCCATGGAAATTGTTGACATTTTACGACCTGTATATCTTCCATCTAGACATTCAACATCCATTAGCTGTATGTCATCAGATTTTGTTACCACACATTCACTGAACTGTTCATGTTCTGCAAGAGATGTTTGCCTTTCATGTGCAAAGGACTGAGGAGGTTGATCCGGCATCTTAAAATCACCAGCAACCTCATCCAGCGAAACACTTACTTCCATTGAGCCAACTGATACTTTCCGTTCAACATCTTGTGGGACTGCTCCTTCAGTATAAACAATTTCTGTTGATAGTGGGGTTACCATATCATCAGCAATATTTGTTGGTAAATCTTGAAATGACACACAGGCTTCAGGTGGTGTTGTTTGAACAGCTATATTTTCTACAACCTCTTGTTCAGCTAGTATTATGCTCTGTGATGCAACAGATATCTTTCTGGAAGAGACACTTTCACTGGAAATATTCTGTGGACCCTTTGATGAGATATCTGATCTTGAAGCCTCTTGTAATAATTCAGCCATACCAGCCTCATCCGGAGGTGTTACCACTGCCTTTCTTCTTTCTTTAGATCCTTCCACTTGGTAAATAACCTCAATCAGTGACCCACTCTCCACATCTGAAGCTTCAATCATTTGAGTTTGGATCTCTGAGGTGCCAGATTGAGATGAATCAGACAGAATTAATGGAGCAGCAGTCTCAACATCATCTTTCAATTTTTCAGTAATATTCTGAACTGGATTTGTAATGTCTTCTTTAACATTAGATTCAACTTCTGAAGTATCATTTATGTCTTTTGACACTTGATCTCCAGCAGTTACTGTATCACTGGAAACAATACCTTGCCTTTCATGTGGTAAATCAGAAGTTTTGTCCATGTCAGTTGGATCATCCTCAACTAACATAATAGGTATATCTCTGATCACTTGTGGTTTGCTATTGATAGTCGGATACTGCATTTCAGAGGATGCTATAGGTTTCGCAATCTGATGACTATCTGTACTTTCTGCTGTCTTTGACATATCAACTGGAGTAGGAACAAGAACAGGCTGAGACTCAAGATTTCCTTCAGACATTGTTTCTGTTGAGGCTTGTTCATCATCAAGAACAATGGGAACATTTCTACCTATCTTGGATTTGTTACCAGCAACAGGAAACTGAAAGTGCATGCTTTGGACATTCATTACACTAGGCATATCCCTTGTAAAATGAGACCACATTTCAGCAGGGCTTGTAAAACTCTGAATTGGTCCTACTGTTGTTGTTGAAGAGGTTGATGTTACTGAGGTTGAAAATTTTTGGACAGTTTCTCTAATATTCCCAAGATCCTGCATGATTTCAGAGCCTAGAGTCTGAATAGGAGAAGGTGATCTAACTGGGGCTTCAGAAACATTGACATTCAAACACTTAGCTTCCTCTAACTTCCCCTCCTCTCCCTCCATTGGTTCCACAGTGACAGTGCCATCTTGTCCTTTTGCATCTGTATCTACAATCAATACATTGTGTCTCGAAAAGAAGTCCATCATTGATGATGATATTCCACTTGAAACATGTGTCAGTGTAATTGGTGTCATATCATTTTTTGGGGTACTCCCATCACCTGAAACATTCTTCTGGCTTAAAACAGAGAACTGGTCACTAACACCTTCAGAAGGAGCAAAAGATTGGATAGTAGAAGGTACTGAATGCTGCCCAGTTGACATAGTGACAGAGCCTAGTGAAGAGTTGTCTACCTCACATGCTGGATTTACCTGAAAGCAAAGGTTAAAAGTCTTACAACATCCAAGTGGATGCTAAAGACATGAAACAAATTAAGGGCACAAGTAATCACAGAAAATTAAGCAGTAGCAGTAGTAGAGGAAGGTAGTAGTAGCAGTAGCATAAAGAACCCTCTGTCACCAAAAGTGGATATTCTGCTTTGAAAGAGTAATGTGACCACTATTAAAAAAAGAAAACTAAAGTTCATCTAACTCAGTGTAGACATCATGTCTCAGACATTAAACCTACCTTTTTATCATTCTCAGCATCTCCCTCTTGTAAGGCTACCGAGAAACTGGGACATTCAATAACTGTCGGTCTTCTTTCCTTCTTGTTTGAGTCATCTTCATCTGAAGAACTGCTTGAGGTTGCTGACAAACTTTCAACAGTTCCCTGAATATCAGATGTGCCTTCCTGGCTCTTTTCTGTATCAGGGACCACCACATCTGCCTCACTTCCTTCCTCTTCAACAAGCTCCATTAATGCCTTCCCTTCTGTATACTCAGTATCTGTAGTCATCACCTCAGCAGAACTTGGTCTTGAAATTAGTGTTACCAGGACTGCTTCCTCAGCCTCTGGAAGCCGATCTTCTGTGGAACTTACATAAGTTATCCCATGTACTACTTGGGAACTCTGCACAGAAACCTTCTGTACTGATTTGTCTTTATCAATACTCATCTTTGTAGTCTCATTTGTGGATGTCATAGATGAAGTCTCATTGCTTACATCATCATGAAGAGGAGTAGTAATTTTAACTACACTTGCAGGTGTTTCAAGAGTCCCAGGATCTTTTTCAAACAAACCTTTTGCCTGGGCAAATTCAACATCACCAACATGAACTTCTTGTACTCTAAATTCATTGGGTCTGCTTCACACTTTGCTTCATCTTTAGATAAAGAAGGTTCTTTGACTACTGACAAATCTGTTATGGGTTCATCTTTCTCATCTCTTGAAAGCTCAATATTTGTTTTGACAATATCTGGTGCTAAAATATCTTTCATTGCCTCAGTTGCTACATCATCTTTTCATATCCACATCTTTACTAAGCTTCTTGAAATTAGTGTTACCAGGACTGCTTCCTCAGCCTCTGGAAGCCGATCTTCTGTGGAACTTACATAAGTTATCCCATGTACTACTTGGGAACTCTGCACAGAAACCTTCTGTACTGATTTGTCTTTATCAATACTCATCTTTGTAGTCTCATTTGTGGATGTCATAGATGAAGTCTCATTGCTTACATCATCATGAAGAGGAGTAGTAATTTTAACTACACTTGCAGGTGTTTCAAGAGTCCCAGGATCTTTTTCAAACAAACCTTTTGCCTGGGCAAATTCAACATCACCAACATGAACTTCTTGTACTCTAAATTCAATTGGGTCTGCTTCACACTTTGCTTCATCTTTAGATAAAGAAGGTTCTTTGACTACTGACAAATCTGTTATGGGTTCATCTTTCTCATCTCTTGAAAGCTCAATATTTGTTTTGACAATATCTGGTGCTAAAATATCTTTCATTGCCTCAGTTGCTACATCATCTTTCATATCCACATCTTTACTAAGCAGCTGTTCTGGTTTGGATCTCTGAATGCTTTCAGAAACATCCATTTTCTCTGCAGGTAGTTCATTTCTCTTTTGTGGATCTTCTTCATCTTCAGTATCACTTAATTCTGCATCACTCATAACTTCTTCAAGCTCAGCAATCATAGCTTGCAGTTTCTCAACAGGAAGCTGCTCATAATCTTTCTGAGCATAACTTTCTTCTTCACCATCAACATCTTTCTCACTGACTTCCTTTTCAGTCCCAGACTGCTTATTTTCAGAAATTACATCACTTGATATGCTACTGATTTTAGCACTGATAATATCAGATAAAGATTCTTTACTTTCTGGAGAAACTAGCTGTTGTGAACTACTAATATATGCATGTGTAACAGCTTCACTTGTAACTACTTGTGTCTGCTGAGAAATAAACTCTACAGTACTTACTTCCTCATTCCTAGAAGTGTCTAGAATAGTAAGGCCATGAGCTCCCATAGGTGCAAATAAATTGTCTCCTTTGGAGGACACACTCTCAGTCACTGATTCAAGATCAGAGAAAGTGCCCTCAAAATCTCTACTTGTCTCAGATGCAGGAGCCATGTCAGTATCAACTGAGGCTAAAGACTCTAAGTCATCATCATCTCGCCTCCTGATCTTGAGGAGAGAGAACCTTTCATCACCACTTAAATCCTGATCAAGCTCCTTCTCTGCACTTCTCCTCCTATTTTTTTCAACTGTTGATAGAGTAATATCCTTTTCTGCAACTTCTTTAAGACCTGCAATGAGTTCATCAAAATTATCTAGGTCATCATCATTTTCTGTGATCTTCCTCTTTCGGTCTTTTCCAGGAGAATCCCGAGAAGAAAGGTCACTCGAAAGGAGGCTGTTTGGAGGATATTCTGCTGTGGGAGATATTTCTAATGATGAGTCAATTGGTGATTCTTCTGAACTACCACAGACAAGAATGCCAGCCTCCAATTTGTCAACTTTCTTCTCTGAAGGTGTCCCAGCAATGTTAAAGGAGAGATGGGATATTGTCATTTTTACTTCCTCCACTTCAACAAGACTCATCTTTTTCTGTTCTGTATCATCAGATGGCTGCTCATCCAAGACATACTTGACAGTTTCTGTATCAATTCCTTCCATCTCAGATGATGACTTGTCTACTTTTTTGGTGACAGTGTTTGTTACAAGTGTCAGAGTATGATCTTCATCTGCTGTTTGATTCTCTTTCGGTTCAACTTTGATAACACTATCAACAAGAGAAGATTCTCCCCACCTGGCACTATCTGCTGATGAGAACATTTCCACTGAATCAGACACATCAACAGTCTTAAGTCCAGGAATAGGCACATCATTCTCATCAAATTCCCTGCAAGTGTCTAAAAGTTCACCGACTGGCTTTCCTTCAACAGAATGAATTATTTCTGATTCAGTAACACCATCCATTGTTTCACTATCACCTATGACTGGAGAGGTAAGTGTGGTACCTGTAGACATCACACTCTTTACAAGACCAATACTTCTAAGGGAAGCACCTTTCTCTTGCTCCTCATTTTTTGAGATATTGTCACCAGCCCAGCTTGATTGGACGGGTGTTGAGGCATCATCTTGTTGATGTACATGCACCATTAATTCATCACTCACTTGTGTTGTTCCCATGGTATGAATGAGTTGTGTAGTTGTGGAAGTTAAACTAGTAGTAACAGAGGTTTCGTGTACATCAGAAGTGGTAATGGTGGAAAAGTTGGTGGTAGTGGTAGTGTCGGTTTGGCTAGGAGATGGTCTGGACCCTTGTGTCTCAGCTGTCAGGGTAACTGAAGTAAGGCTTGTCCCCTGTATGTCTTGAGAGCACTGCTGAAAAGACACATATGGGATCTTTCTCACCAATTTAGACACTACTCAACTCTGAACTCTGCTGGCTTGCTACTTTTAACTTCTACAAGTCAGTTTGGAATGTAATACCTTGGTGAGATCAAGCTGCTGCCATAAGTTCTAGTCCAGCAGAAGCAGGAGGGTTAACAGACCAGACACCACATGTAATGCTGATAGAGCCAGCAAGAAGGTTATTAGACAAGTAACAGAATAAAGTTGAGCACAAATTGTGATAAGAAATCAATATATGTACACAAAACCCTCTAACCTGGCTAGACTGCCACATGTAAGCTCAAAACACCTTTGCCCAAAGAAACATCCTGCTACAGGCACTAACTATCCTAGTCTAAATTCAAACAATGAAAGTGATATAATATGTACAATACATGTTTACAAATGTACAATTGGAATTTAACAAAAGCATGGATTAGTCTCATACTGGCAAGTATACTATGGATCATATTAGAAATTAATAAACAGCCTTCTAATAACATGAATATGTATCTAAAAAAAAAAAAAAAAAATGTGAGACACTTTTTTAAGCAAGAATACATCTGCACTAACAATATTAGTGCCACATCTATAATAATCAATATTAGACACTGATAAACGGTAACAAATTGAGTATTTGTCTAGATACTAAAAAACTTGAAATCACATTACCATACAAAATAAGCCACATTATCCCCCAAAAGCAGAATATCCTTGAAGTATAAAATGCATATAAAAATCAGAGAGGAAAGCAAAGTCAGGGGATCACAGAGAAATGGTGATCAGTATGTGTGGGACTGAGGGAAAATATCCATGAAATACTTTGAAAGTATAATAAAGGGTTAGTAACATTAGTTCTTCACACTGCAGAATAATTAGAAGTGGAGGTGAAGAAAATAAAGGAAATCATCACTGAAAAACATACAGAATCTGAGAATTATTGCACTCTGAAGTTGATTATCAATTTCTTTTTCTTTATTTCATTATTTCACCAAAGTAGGGAATCAAACATTCAAAGGAGAGCCAAACAATGCATAAGCCTCCCAAGCACAACATGCAACATGCAAAAGTTCTGGAGCATCACATCACTGACACACAAACTAACATGAGCAGCAGCTTCTGGTATTTTGCCAAACAGATGTTTAACTGTTTGTAACATAAATAAGGCTCAATATATTCGTGCAGCAGAGAAGTTCATATAACAGCAATACTATTTTAACATACATAAAATTCTGAATGCACCAGACTGAATAAACTTTACTGACAGTAAGCATACACTATACATTCACTGATTCAAGCCATTTATATTTCATAATAATATTATTATAAAAACATCCAACAGGAAGGAGAACATGTTACTATTTCAGACATTAAAATCTATACCGCATAAATTCAAACCCACATTTCATGGTTTATCATTAGTTGTTTTTTATATGTTTCATTAAACAAGGATCTCCCACCATATACTCCTTCCCTTAATATATAACCTGAAATACAGTGACACAAGCAGCAAATCTTACCTGAACATTTTTAAAGATGTTTTCCCACCTCTGATTTATCTCAATTAGTTCTGGCTGTACACGTGCTTGGAACAGCGCTCCATGGTTAATGAGGTCCACAGCAGTGTCCCGGATATTTTCAATATGTCCCTTGTAATTCTGGACTTCAGTAGAAATGGACTGGAAATGTTTCATTTTAATGCCACTATGAAATAACATAGCAATATGAATGCCATTATAATAAGAATGCCAATGCCATTGTAAAACCATGAGAATATCAAAATAAACATGCATAATTATTTCCATTATTACTTATCTCAATATTTCAATTAACTAACCTTAATAATTCTAGCCTGTTCATCAGCATCCACTGAGCTTAGGTTTGTCAGCTGATATTCAGTGCTCTGTAGCCATCCTTTAATTTCTCCAAGTCCCACAATAAACTTCTCCATTTCTGCTTCCTTGTTTACTTGCTCACTCTAAAGTCATGAATCAATAAATTATTTAAAACAATAGGGAAATAAGAGATGTGTTAATTAAAACAAAATGCATACCAACCAAATCATCAAATCTTAACTCTTCAGTTAATTTACTTTTTTTCTCTCAAATAGCTCCTACAACTCAAATAATAAGAAATTAATCTTAAAATCAACAGAATAACAAAATTCTATAACAAAATGAAACTTCGCACTGTATTTTCACCAAATCTATACCCTCGTTATAAATATATCCTCAATCAGGATATAAACAGGCTCATTATCAATCACTGTTGATATCTTTTTGTTTTAGTAATGCTGAAGCTATATTTAAGATATCTTCATGTTTTACAAATGTACAATTGGAATTTAACAAAAGCATGGATTAGTCTCATACTGGCAAGTATACTATGGATCATATTAGAAATTAATAAACAGCCTTCTAATAACATGAATATGTATCTAAAAAAAAAAAAAAATGTGAGACACTTTTTTAAGCAAGAATACATCTGCACTAACAATATTAGTGCCACATCTATAATAATCAATATTAGACACTGATAAACGGTAACAAATTGAGTATTTGTCTAGATACTAAAAAACTTGAAATCACATTACCATACAAAATAAGCCACATTATCCCCCAAAAGCAGAATATCCTTGAAGTATAAAATGCATATAAAAATCGGAAAGGAAAGCAAAGTCAGGGGATCACAGAGAAATGGTGATCAGTATGTGTGGGACTGAGGGAAAATATCCATGAAATACTTTGAAAGTATAATAAAGGGTTAGTAACATTAGTTCTTCACACTGCAGAATAATTAGAAGTGGAGGTTTTAAGTGAAGCTGCAAAATCCATACCAAGCTCTGCATCAAGATATCTTCATGTTTTACAAATGATGTAAAGATATT